TCTCTCTCTCTCTCTCTCTCTCTCATCCCGGTTACCGTTCAAAAGAATCACTTTGCCCGCGTCTGGCAGCGTGTAATACCCTGAATACAAAATGAGTACCGTGAAGAAGCGCTGCCCCGATCGGAGTTCCTATTTACGTCAGTCATCCGATGAATTAAGGGCCCCGATGCGCCGGCGAGAAAGAGGAGCTCGGGCTGACAATGAAACCGGGGGGGAGGGAGAGGAGGAGGAAGGGAGGTCGAAAGAAGAGCGAGGTGGGCGAAGACGCTGAGATTCCCCCGTGTCTTATGACAAACGAGACAACGGACTGTCAAATTATCCCGTGGAGCGACTAAATCGCGCTATACGATGAAATTCGTTTTATCGGCGTCATTTTTTTTTCTCTCCTTTTTTGCAAACGTGTGTGTGTGTGTGTGTGTGTATGTGTGTGTGTGTGCAGCGTGCGGTGGGTCGCGAGGTTGGTTGAATTCGCGGCGATGACATCCTTGATGACTTTTTGATTTTAAAGCAACGTGAAGAATTGACTCAATTAATTCTCTCTCTCTCTTTCTCTCTTTAATTCTTTCTCTTTCTATACATATATGTATATACACACACAGTGATATTCTTTCCAAATGCAAATGTAATCTTCATACACATTGAAAAATCACCAGTACGTCATCACTTCATTTTCTCGTAACTTCACGCCTTTCAAAATTCTCTCGTGTGCGCTTCGCAATGTCATCACCGTTGAACTTTACCAGCTGCAAACTCGCGGCCGTGTCGCACGTCATGCGCGTGGTTATGGAAAAAGAAAATTATCCGTAGAAAAATGTATTCCGAAACGGCGTGTAGTGTGAGTGAGTAAGATAAACGCGGTGTAAGAGCTTTTATTACGCGACGCACGGCGAAATGCCACCGTGTGTTGCGTTCCACTTTGCTGAACTTTGTTGAACCTAACAATCGATGCCGGTCGATTTATTAATGCAACAACCGGAGGACGCGGTAGGCGTGCACTCGCTGTCTTCGACGCCGACGATGTCGTACTTTTAGCCGCAGCTGCGCCGAGTAACGTGTTAAAGTTTAATGCGCGAGTTGTCTCAGCACGGCCACGTTTGCTCCCACTCTCTCTCTCTCTCTCTCTCCCTCTTTCTCTCTCTCTCGCGAGAAAAAAACATGAAAAATTTCCCGTTCGAAAATGTTGACAGTTCGATAGAGTTCTCATAATGCGGCAATTAAAACTAGCTAAACGAGATGTGGCAAGGGAATAATTTTTTTGAAAAGTGCACGGAAAGAACGATTTTGTTGAAAGACATTAAAAATTTTGCTAAAAACAGATCTGAAAATGATTTTTTATTGAATCATTAAAATAATTTGTTGGAATGTTAAAACTGATAAGTGTTGCTATAAAACGTTTTGATATTCTAGCAATCATTTTGACTTTCGCACAAAATAATTTTGATTATTAAACAAAAATTATTTTCAGATCTAGATTCAGCAAAATTGTTCTTTCCGTGTGCGGCTCTGTTTTGTTGAATCTTGTTTCTTGAGATGTAAAGATTTAGAAAATCTTAATTACACATCGAATTTCATCGTAAAAAATATTTTTTCCTGGTAATCATGAAAATATAAAGCTATAATAATTTACCTAATAATTTTAGAATTTTTAATTGTAATATTAATATGTCAAATATCACAAAAATTGACGTCTTTCTAACAGTATTTAAAAATTTCGGTCATCTTTTTTAAATAACTTAGAAAAAAGATTATAAAAATTACTAAATAAAATATCACGAAATTAAACTTCATTTTATGCCTTTTTATTTTCGCATAAAAATAATCGATACGTGTTTCTATCCTTTTTAATACTCTAATACTGAAAGCTGAAAATGAGAAAGGAGCAAGCGTTCCCGTAGATTTTATTATTCCACCTCGCTTGTCACCGGTTCGCAGATCATTCATAGAACCGGCGAGGCAGGACACTTTACATTCGCGTCGGGAGATCGATGCGCGGTTACTATACGTAAACGCCGCGATTAAGTTATTCATCTCGCAGTTGTAAGAACTTAATAATATAGAGTTCGATCCTCGCGGCGGTGTGACAAGTGTCACGAGGAATTAACCGGATGCCTTCGCGCGCGAGAAATAGACGCGGTCGAACGGAGGCTTATTAATTAATTAATCCAATAAGAAACTTAACACATCCGTCGCTACGCGGAATCCGGAGTCTGCACTTCGTCGGATCTCGCGCTTTTTATAGCGGGCCGATATAGAAACGCCGGAAGCAACGAAGATAATTCATGCGAAATGATCAGCGCTGAACTCAGCTAAGTTTTTATTCACCGGCTCTTCATTGAGCTTGAAAATCCCTAATTCGATTACAGCGACAACGAAACTAACACGCTCTTTCCGTTTCTCCCGTCTTTACTTATTCAACGTCTTTCGAAAATTGACGGAAATTATCGCGGGCAATTCAATTATTGCGCCAATCTGCGCGCGAACTCGCAGCTCGCAGCGATTGATCTTAATGAGACAGGACGAACGTCTTCGGGGGGGACGGGAAGGAAGTTTTTTTTTCTGAAGATACTCACGTGCCCATGCCTGTCCATGTCGTTGTTGGTGAGCTTGACTTTCTCGAAGGAGACGACCTGCTTTCGGAGTTGCTCGCCCGTGAAAGGCGAATCCGGATGGACGTAGAGCCGGGCCGGCGCCGGCGGATCCGCCTTTCCGGCCACCAGCCAGCAGCTCCTGTGATATGCGTACCGATACCTCTTATTGTCGACCGGCACGATGTCCATCAGGACCGCGTATCGGCTGTCCGCCTTCAGCCCGTTGAATGAGACACGACACGTCGGAAACATCCGCCTGCGCAAACATCAAACGTATCCTCGGTAAAAAAAAAAAAAAATAGAGATGTATAGAATATTCTAAACTTAAATATCACTTCTAAATAATTTCCAACTACTAATTGCCGTTCAAATTAATAAAATGTCAATTCTCGCAGGTATAACGAAAATCATGTAAATTATACAGCTATATAATTCCTTAAATCGTTATTAATTAATTCCTGAACTCGATACAGAAACCATAAACCAGAATCGTCTTCCGACGATTCTGTTATGAAGCGGTGTTCCTAGAATAGTTTATAACATTTAGATAAAATTAACCGAGATCTAATTGATTCCTCGCCTGATCCCGCTAATGACAGAACCAAAATTCCTCTTTGGAATATTTTCGACGAAACAAAAGTGTCGCATTTTGGCAATCAATGGAACCGGAATGATTCGCAATAATTTTAGAGTTGACCCGCTCACGATCACCCGAAGGGGATCACGTAGAAGAGAATGAGCGAAGAAAGGGAGGGAGCAGGGGGGGGGGTGGACCGGCACAGGGGCGCGAGGGCGACGGGCCCGGACTGGGGATTAGGGGCGAGGGGGGCCGCGGGGGCAGGGGAGCTGGCGTGAATGTTTTGCCTCGGAGGCCAAACATTAATACCGTGTCGGGCCCCCCGCTGCTCGACCACTAAAACGCGGGGACACCCGCCGATCTTATCTACGTCTTCTCCTCGGTCCTTGTCGACTCGGTATGCATTCATCCCGCCAGCGCCACGAGTGTGAGTAATGCTTTTATTTATCAAGCCGTCTTTTGTTAATGAATTGAACGAGGGGAGAGAAGGTGGGCCCTCTCACCCTCTCGCGCTCTCACACACCGCGCGCCCTCCGGGCTCCCGTCTCTCTCTCTCTCTCTCCCTCGTTCGTGTCTGATTTTCAACCCCTTCCCTCCCGCCCCCCTTCTCTCGCGACCATTTCTCTCGTGACACGAACTCCAAGAATGTCTGTGCGACTTTTTTTCCACCGGATTATCATCCGCCAAAATTCCTGTCTCTCCGCGATGACGGTGGAACGGCTTCATGCAGGATGTGTCTGAAAACTCGGTCTGAGCGCCGCGCCGCCGGGGGCATAGAAATCCTTAAAAATACGGGATAGAGACAATCCTTCAGATATCCTTCAGACAAGACGTGTTCAGATTGGTAAAAATTTTTAATCAGTAAGCAAAAGTTAAAATTATGGTACATGAAATAAAAATTTAAATTGTATATTCATTAAACGAAATGAAGAACATTAAATCTTCAAGATATATTGAATATATAACCACAACGAAATACATTCTATAATTTACATGATCAATATTTTACAGCTTCGCATTTTGCAACGAAAATTACATAAAGTTGTCGAATTAAAGAAAAAAATCCATGAGCAGAGCGTAAGGTTTAAACTCTGTCCTGAAAATCTCCAAAGACAGCGAGAAGCGTATAATGGAAGAAAGACGGGAGTAAGGGTCGCGCGCCGAGGGTAGTTCCAGGACTGCCTGGCGGAAAGTCTAAGGGACACTAAAGGGGCGGTAAGTTGACGGCTGAAGGGAGCGTCGACCAATGTCGCTAAGACGCAGATCTAATTACCGACGCACGAGTAGGCGCGCACCCAGCTGGAGGAGCGAAGAATCCCCCGCGGAAGCGGGGAAACCTACGACGAATAAAGAGCCGGGGATGTTGCCCGTCGCGGCGGGCAATTAGGCGCGCGTCGGCCGCGTCGTCCCTCCCATCTTTTCCGCCTCCTTTCTCTTCCGGAAAGTTCCTCTCCCCCCCCCCCCCCCCGGTGTGTTCCTTGAGAACACCCGCCAGTGTCATTCCGTGCGACCATCTCCTCGCACCCCATCCTGTTAGATCGTAGCCCAGGGCTGGCGACCCTGCTTGCTAAAGACTCGATTTATATTGTTTTGTCCGCGAAAAAAAAAACTTGGCAAATGCACAAAAGAGAATTTTGGTGATAAACTAAAAAAAAAAAGTGTAAATTCTCTGCGATGGCATTAAAATCATTTGTAATGCAGCACAATTTAGGCCCGGTTCCACAAATGTAAGATTAACTTTAATTTCGGTTTAACTTTACTGTTCACCTCTTTCTAATTCTTACATTAGAAAAAGATAAAGCGAATTGAACTTCGGTTAATCGAGTTAACCGCGAATTGCGAAACCCGACTTTAATTGAATGTAATTCTTTCACAATTTTAATCGATTAATAAACAGGATTTTTACGCCATATTCCTTACGTTATTTCTATCTTTCTATCTAAATAATCGCGTAATATGTTAAAAATGCGAATTTCCATGATCAGCCCGTCCTGCAGGACGACGTCACATCGATACAAAGGACCATTCCACGTCGATAGTTAACTTCGCGTCCAATGTTAGCATTTCCGTCGTTAAGTCCAAGATATATGCTTGAGAAGGTGGTATATCGCGAGCCCCCCCCCGAGACAAACCGCGAACATAAAACTTCTCGACTGCCTTCCGCGAATAGGCAGCCCTGAGAGCGGATCCCTCCCTGGACCTCTCTCTCCCCCTTCACAGTGTGAACCCACTCGAATCCTCACGCCTCCGGTCGCCACCGCGCTCTCGTCCCAAGGACCCTTATAAACTGGCATAAGCTCGCCCGGTTTCTACACCGGCCCCGACTAATTGACTGACGGTCAATATAGCAATTTAACCCGCCAGCTTGCCACCAGCTCGTTCCCCGCTTTTTATTCTCCTACCTCCCCTCTCCTCCCGATCCCCTCCTTCCCGGTCTATTCGCCCCCTGCGCGCTCAGGTAATCTTAACTCTTTCGCAGTTTTATATTACCGCAGTGAGTATATATTATAGTGTGTATGTGTGTGCACGCGCGCGCATTCTTATCCTTTTTATAATATATACGACGTGTTGCATTATAGTTACTTTCTTGTTATCCGCAATTGAATTTGTTTACTCGCCAAAGAGGCGAGCGAGCGAGCGAGCGGAAATGTTGCACGTGTACACGTGTGTTAAAGCTTACGTTTCACCCAGCCGATCAGAGCTCGCTGCGCGTTTTTACATTCCCGAACCAATTGAGAAGAGTTTTACGTTTTAAGTTTTTACTCTTTTCTCTCCCGCCGTCGTTTCCGAGTTCATGATCCGTATACCGCGTTCTACAGCGGATCTTTTTTATTCGCGATCTCCAGTCACTTGTTAAATAACGTCGGCTTACCGCAGGATAGATAGTTGCATCGATCTCACTAATATTCTCGCCAATTTTCTTTCTCTTCCCTCTCTACCGAACCAAACTTTTTCTTGTAAATAAGAATCGCATAAAAGACTTTTGCCGACAAATAATTTACAGCTTTGAAAATTTTACCTTAAAACAGTGACAAAATCTGTGAATTTTTTAAAACTGTGTTTCTCTCATTTCATACACCGAGAAAAAAATATAGTTGGAATGACCATAATTTAACTAATTAATAATGAATATTTAATTTATAATGAATTTTGGGGACAATTATAAGATTATAATTAATTTAACCATGCAAATTATAACTGCTTTAACAATGCATTATAGTTATATATTATGATTGATATTATTATTTTTCCGTTTACTTATTTTTCAATTATTATTACAATAGTAAGCAAATGTTAACAAAATAATTATACTTACTATAATTACAGTTACATTTACTACATAAAAATATTTAATTCATTCATTCATGTATATATATATTTCGATATTTTAGGATATACTAATATTTGAAATTATTATAATTTGTAGTAAATTTCTTTCATATTTGGTAAAACTATACGTATAAAACTATACGTTATTATTACTAAGCTTACAATTACTAACATTATAGTGATAATAACTAGAAAAATAGTGTTCCTAATCATAATTTTTTTTACCATGCAATTATAGTCACAATAAAAAATATTTTTCTCTCAGTATACTTTTATGTTTTTTTACTTCATATTTCGCTGAGAATTATAATTTCCACCTCGCGTATTGTATACAAAGGATTAATCTCACTTTTTAGACTGCTAATTGTTCCCCGAGTAATATCGTTTTTCCCTCCGCTTTACCACCCCGTCCCCCCCTTCCCGCCGCTTGATTCCCGCTCGACTAAAGGATCGTAATTTCAATGCGATTAGGACGTTTGCTTATGTTTAGGTGTAACGTGTCAGGCGAGTGACAGCTTGCTCAGGGTAACGACACCTCTCGCCCTAACCCTATAGCCCCGGTTTCTATCGCCGGGTCCCCCCACGGGAATTTTCGTGGGTGTCGCGTCGTGACCCGTGGCAGGACGTGATTGAGTTTGCAGCGACATCGCCCCGGGGAGGGTCGACGGCGGTTTCGGGACACGAGGGGCCGAAGGGGTGCGAGCGGCCGCGAGTAATGAGAAAGAGTCAATCGCCCCGACGTTTGTCCAGGAGAGAAATCCCAGCCTGCGATGCATTAGCGGGTACATCGTCCCGCGGGAATTCCCCGGAGCATCTGGTTGCCTCGGGGGGGATCGCGCGCGTTTAACCCTCCCCCTTCCTCCCCCGTTCCCCTCGAGAAACGAGTCTGGAATTGTTTCCGACTACGATCCTTCGATTAATCGTCGCGAAACACGCGCGACACCATTCTTTCTCACTCTATCTCAAGCATCTCAATGTTACAATAAATGTACAATAAAATAATAATCATATCTCGGGCTTTCAAGCATTGTTGCACGCAATTCTAGATTTATCGTTCGTTACGTCAACTTTGACGCTGACGGAGATAACTGCTGATTGCGTGCGATTTGTACGTATTACCGAATCACGTTGCACAATACGGAATTATGTAATATATGCGTCAAATGCTAGGAATAAGGTTGACTTTAAAATTGAAATTATGATGTAATAACAAAAAAAAAGACCGATTTAACTACAGCAATTAATAATTGCACGACGCGGTTGAACTTGAAAATCCGACAATCACGACGATCGCGTGATTAAAGCTTATCGATATCCATCCGATGTGGAGTGCCCGCGGCGCGGTTATCTTCGATACTGCGGCTAAATAAATCAGCGTTACGAATCCACAGATATCGATCATATATTCTTTCAGGCAGCGGAAGTCGATAATTTGGAGTGCTTCGACCTTACCTGCCAGTCTTGGTGATGATCATCTCCGTGCCGAGCTCGTTGAATTTGTCCCAGAGCTCCTTGGTCTCGAGGTGGCACACGACGTGCCTCAGCTCCTCGCAGTTCGAGCGCTCCTGGAGCAGCGGATTCACCACCGGCGAAACGCCCTTTCCGCTCGTGCTCCCGGTATCGTCCGTTTCCGGCTCGTCCTCCGGACTGACCGTCTCCGAAGCCGGCGGGGCGCCGCGAGCGACCCCGGAACCGCTGGCTTCCCTCTCTGCAATTCACATTTTCGCACTCTCTAAATCTGAATCAGTGGAAAAAGTCACTGATTGTCACTGATCGAGTCAGTAACTATAACTAATCCAACTTAACGCATTGCATTGTTAATAAATAAGTGAAACAGAGCCGAAATCCGTGGTGCAATTAGCGAGAACAGCGAAGTTCACTGATTTGTCAACGATTATAGCGATTGTTCACTTATTTATTAGTGATTTTCGAGAGTCAATGAAGTTGAATTTCACCAGTGACATACTTGGGACTGATGCATTCAATGAATAACCATTGATAATCAGTGACTATATCCACTGATTCAGATTTAGAAAGCAATGTTCGGTTTCATGCATTATCGTGTGCGCGATATTAAAAAAAAAAAAAAAAAAACATTTAATGTATGTCTATATAATTTAATGTGTGTCTATATAAGCTCTCTCTCTCTCTCTGTAATACCGAATTATCCTCCGCAGAACGTACTCGTCGCCGCGTCATTACTCGTACTATGAATTATTATCCACCTCGCGGCCGCGGCCGCGCGGTTTTTATTCGCCATCAGCTATAGCGCGCCGTACACAACCGGTACGCAACCGGAAACGACCGCGAGAGGGAAACCGCTTCCGGCACGATCCGATATAAAAATCGAGGATCGCTGAAGCGTAGTAAAAACCTCACTGTACGCGGCGAGCGCGGAGGTTTGCCGAGCTTAAGGACCGGCATTTATCACCGCCGCGTCATTGACGCTCGTTTTTATCCGTTCGGCCGTTTAGTCAAACTAAAATAGCGAACGGCGAACGGGAGTTAACCAGTGAATGAACCAAGCTCGATGAATATTTAAGAGCCGTTCAATTACAGTTATATCTCGCCGTTCGTGCCACGTTTCGCGACGTACCTATAATACGCAGCGACGATGTTTCGCTCCTCGGCGCGGCGACGGCGGCGGCGGCGGCGGCGGCCGGCATGGCACTTTCGCCGCTTCGCGCGCGGCGAGCGAAATTAAAAACGAGGCCCCGCGTTCGTCGATTCGTAATTTACGGGCGGCCGCCCATTACCGCAAATCGTTATTAATTTTGTCCGAAGGAGCCGACGCGCGCGCGCGTAAACACGCATTGCGATAACTCGATTCTAAATTACGTATACGTATACGGGCCCTCGGCACCGATTAATATCTATCCCCGTATACGCTTTTATGGTGCGCCGCATCCATACTACTTGCGCTCCGAACCCGCCAAGTAGTTTTTCGACCCTTACCCGCGCGAAGGAAATTCTCGCCGTTTACGTATGCGTGTGCAAAATGAAAAATCGCTTTCGTGACGCGCGATTATTTATCGCTTTATTCGACAGCTCTATTAGCGGAATAATGAAGAAAGGGAGTGTCTCTGATTAAGATTTTAATCGAAAAGTAAATGAATGTTGAGAGGCTGAAAATACTGGGGACGGGAACGGACGATGCATCGAAAACAATGTCGCTCCACTGTGTACTTTTTTTTTTTTGGATCGTGTCGCGAAAATTTTAACGCATAATATAAAATTACATTAAAGAGTTTGAGTAAAAAAAAAATGTAAAATTAATAATGACACACGTAAATGTTTTATCTACCTTAATTAATCCACCTTAAATTCTTGTTTTCGCTCTTAAATATATATCAAGATACCATCGGACAATTTTTATTGTGCAGCGCGGAAACGAGATCGTATCGCGGCTGTGTCAAAGCACTTGGTAGATACGGCACGAGAGGGTATATATAAGGTTCCGAGAAAATCACCGTTGATTAAAACGACTCACTTGATTAATGCCGCGAATTAACTCGGAGACACCGCGTCTCGTTTAGACGTTTTATTTCACGTAAATCGCCCCAATCTCTCTCTCGCGCGCGCGTTTATACGCGCGAACGTTTACGTGCGCGTCGCCGCGGTTTCGGCGCGTAGTGTCGTCCACGTATAATAGTTCCGCACCGTTCAATCACACCGATGTAAATCTAATAAGCGTAATCCATTTGGCAGTAGTTATAGGTATCCGGCTATCGATGATAATATATATATCGTCGGTCGCGGCCGCGATAAGCGGGGTCCGCGCCTTCGACGGTTCGGCATCGCGATCCGATTATAAAATAACGCTGCGAACGCAGCGTTCCGCGCGGGGAAAAGCCGCGGCCTTACAATTATTATTACGCAGATTGTTTCCGATTTTAATGACGCAAGGGAAAAGTAATCGGCTGATAAAGCGACGTATTGCCGTCGGCGGTGATTAATCGTTGCGCCACGACGCACTGTGCACGCGGGCGACACAGGAAGTCGAGCTCTCTTTTCAAGATACACGCGAATTTCTACAGGATGTGATTGTAGACGCGAAGATTGAACGCCGCGCCACGGACGCGCGATGTGACCCGTCGCGGCCGGCCGACGCGAGGGATTAATTTTGTTTTAACGACTTTCGACTCCGCGTTGTTAAGATAAATTATTAAGCTTGATTTTAAGAGAATGGTAATTAAAATTGAGATACGCGAAATTGATTTCACTCGCACGATAAAATGGAATAAATTTTTGTGCAACGCGTGTAAGCCGCCGCGTCGACGAAAAGTATATCCCGCGCGCGACGCGACTTCTTTAACTTTAAAATAGGTATATAAATTCGCCGGCAATTTTTCGCGGCTTATAACCGATAAGGGCCTTCTACGCCGCTCGCGCGGTTGAGATCAGAGTTATTTATACCTAACGGGAATGCGCGAGACCGTGCACATCTGCCATTTTAACAGGTCCCTTCTCCCGCGCGTAATTCGCGGACACACGTATTTACCACGTGCGCCTTCGCGTTTCCATGGTAAGAGCCTCCATCCGTTGTACACGGGGAAACCGTAATAAACTTCGTAATGGGCAGTTACGAAGTACCGACCTCGCTGGTATGTCAGGTGCCGGCTATCAATTTTGCACGTTGATGCCGCGCGCTCGCGCTCGCGCGCGCGCGCGAGGAATTAATTGTCCATTCGGCATAAGGTAAAATCCGGCGCGCCGCGCGTCTCGGTATTATGGCCTCATCGCCGCGCTTTTCCGGTTTTCTCTCCGCGAAAATTCGCAATTGATCGCCGTGCACTACAATGCCGCGGTACACCGTGGTAGTCTACGTTTCTCTTGCCTTGTCGGAAAAAGTGCGCGTAAAGAGAAAAGAAAATTTCAACATCGCTAAAATGACGCGAGACTATAAGTCGAAAGTAGGGCGGAGGCACCACGCGATATAAATATGTATAAACTATTCTAACTGCAGGCTGCCAAGTACAATTGCTTTTGTGTTAAGTATATAATAAAAAAATTTCATGTATAAAATATAATACAAAAAATGTAATTAAATATATAATATATAATTGAAAAACCAACATCCCGATATATCTCATGATTAATGTTAGCAGTTCTTTCAATTATTTAGGTTTTATATACGGATGTATGTTTTGCGCGCGGTGAAGATAACTAATCGAAATATATATATCCACGTTGCGATTTTTCAATCTCACTTCAAGATAAAAGCTCTCACTGATATACAAACGAGGAAGTAACGCGGTTGATAAATAAAATCTCTCTAGGTTTACCTTAAGTCGCTGGTAGGTTATAATTTCACATACCACCACTCTTGGTCGGCATTACGCTTATACACGGAGAGAATTTTCTTTTAAAATTTACCCTGAAAATCATGTTAATTGTGGGACAATATAGTATTTAGGCAAATTTTACTGTGCACTATACAATAAATTTTACTGCAAAATCCTATTAGTAGTAGTGCACAGTAAAATTTGCCTAAATACTATATTGTCCCATAATTAATGATGAAACATGATTTGCAGGGTAAATTTAAAAAAAAATTCTCCGTGTAGTAACGCTAAACTAAAGCAAGCCTCCAAGTCGTAAGTGGATAATTATCCTTTTTCCAGGCGCTACCGCGCGCTCATTACATCGCTCGCCGGCCGTGTGCCATAATCGAGGGCATTAGTCATATTGCATTTAACAACGCCTAAACCGCGGCGAGAGAGAGAGAGAGAGAGAGAGAGAGAGAGAGAGAGAGAGACACACACACAGGAGGAATGATCCTCGAAAGTTCGACGATTCGGTATTGGTCGGCCGCAAAAAATGATTGACGGTAATACGTGCCACGAATTACTCGTCCAGTTCGATATGTAAATTATCGTCACGTCCTCCGTTACTTCGCTCCCGTATTTACATTGCACGCATTTTGCGGTAAACGCGGCCGTTCGCGATTCCCGGTTTGCGATTGACTCTTGTACGCGCAAGAAAACGAGAGCGAGAAGAAAGAAGAAGTAAAATTTTGCTCCATAAAGAGATAAACTCTACAATCGAATGAGCGCTTCTTGCACTCTCTTGTATGCATAGAACAATCTTCTTGGTACATATAAATTAATATCGTAAATTATCATAGTGCACTCTGCGTAAATTACAATGCATAAATGCTTGTAATATATCCATTTTGTTTTACGTATCTCGACTCTCCCGCCGATCAACCCTCCTGCGCTGTATCTTAAACGAAATGTATTTTATAAGTTTCATAGAGTATCGAAAGTCCGCGATTACGATGAATATTGCACACACGACGACGCATAAATTATGTAAATTATCTCGCAATTACAACATCGCCAATTCGCATCGCGTGGCGGTACCGCGCGTTTACGTATATTTCTTGCCTCTCTATACGTGCATCTTTGTAGCACGCGTGATAAATTACAGAAAATACGTACATATCGAACTTATATCTTCACGAGCGTGGACGTATTTATTAAACCGTGCAACATGGAAGGTGTTTAGCGCGCCGATCCCTGGTTGTTAACCACCGCTGATACGGCAAATAATTTGCGATCCGGGCAAATGTATAATTCCAGATTTTTAAACACGATCCGCGCGTCTAGGGACGATAAACTTTAATTCTGCTTAATGCAGTATACATATATACAGCGTATTTCGAAATCTTCAATTAGTCTTCACTATAATCTTTAGTTTGTTTGA